CAGAGCAGCTCTGGGGTGTTCTTTGGGGGGCTCTGGGGGTGTTTTTGGGGGTTCAGGGGGTGTTTCTGGGTGTTTTTGGGGTGTTTTTGGGATGTTTCTGGGTGTTTTTGGGGGTTTTTGGGGTGTTTCTGGGGGTTCAGGGCTGTTTTTGGGGTGTTTTGGGGTGTTTTGGGGGTCCCCACCTCTCCTCCTGCGGCATCCCGCGGTGGATGGCGATGGCCGGGAAGTTTTGCTCCACCAGCAGCTGCGCCAGGGCGATGCAGCGCTGCACGGACTTGACGAAAATCACGACCTGGGGGGAGCCCCAAAAACGGGGTCAGAGCGCCCCAAAACCCTCCTGGACACCCCGAAACTGCCCCTGGGAACCCCAAAACCATCCTGGACACCCCAAAACTGCCCCTGGACACCCCAAAACCACCCTGGGAACCCCAAATCCCTCCATGGACACCCCAAAACTGCCCCTGGGCACCCCAAAACTGCCCCTGGACACCCCAAAACCCTCCTGGACACCCCAAAACCCTCCTGGACACCCCAAAACTGCCCCTGGGCACCCCAAAACTCTCCTGGGAACCCCAAATCCCTCCCTGGGAACCCCAAAACCATCCTGGGAACCCCAAAACCATCCTGGACACCCCAAAACCCTCCCTGGGAACCCCAAAACCACCCTGGGTACACTAAAACCCCCCTGGACACCCCAAAACCACCCTGGGAACCCCAAAACCCTCCATGAGCACACTGAATCCCTCCTGGGATCCCCAAAACTGCCCCTGGGAACCCCAAATCCCATCCTGGACACCCCAAACCACCCCCAGGACCAGGACCCCCCATCCTGGCCCCTCTCTGTGCCCGCCTGGGGTTCCCCCCATGGGGATTTTGGGGGTTCCCCACAGGATTTTGGGGTTCCCCCTGTGATTTTTGGGTTTCCCTGCAGGATTTGGGATTCCCCCTGTGATTTCAGGTTCCCCCTGATGATTTCAGGTTCCCCCCCATGATTTTGGGGTCCCCCCGGTGATTTTGGGTTCCCCCCGGTGATTTTGGGGTTCCCCCTGAAGAATTTGGGGTTTCCCTGCAGGATTTCAGGTTCCCCCCTGTGATTCTGGGTTCCCCCCAGTGACTTTGGGGTCCCCCCCGTGATTTTGGGGTTCCCCCCAATGATTTCAGGTTCCCCCCGATGATTTTGGGGTCCCCCCGGTGTTTTTGGGGTCCCCCCGGTGATTTTGGGGTTTCCCTGCAGGATTTTGGGTTCCCCCCAGTGATTTCAGGTTCCCCCCGATGATTTCAGGTTCCCCCCTGTGTTTCTGGGTTCCCCCCGATGATTTCGGGTTCCCCCCGTGATTTTGGGGTGCCCCCGTGATTTTGGGGTGCCCGCAGACCTGGTTGAACTCGAGCACGTCGAGCAGGTCGAAGAGTTTCCTGTTCTTCTCGTTGTCCTTCAGCTTGACGTAATACTGCTGCAGGCCGTGCAGCGTCAGCTTGGTCTCGTCGTCCACGAAGATCTCCATGGGCTGGGGGGGCAGCGCCTCAGCCCCCGCACGGGACCCCCTGAACCCACCCCCTGAACCCACCTGGGGACCCCTGAGCCCACCCCCTGGGGACCCCTGAGCCCACCCCCTGGGGACCCCCTGACACCCCCCTGAACCCTCCTGGGGACCCCCTGACACCCCCTGAACCCTCCTG